CGTATTGCATTACATCATGGTTACAAGCCTCTTCAACTACATTGAAGCCTATTGACTATCGATTTATAAACAAGCAGTTAAAATGTTGGACTTAAAGCCAATGCAATGACATCATTGTGATGTTTTATGTAAACTTAACCTTTTATAGTTTTAATAAATGTAATTATCTTACATTAGCTTTTAAACGTTTAAATGATCATGTTCCAATGGTGGTTTCAAATCTAATCAGTAGGCCTCAAACCTCTCACAGAGTCACACGAGCAAGTGCTAATGGTCACTGTCTAGTGCCAAAGTGTAAGACCTCATTTGGCCAGTCTGTTTTCTCTGTTAAGGGGTGCCAAATTGTAGAATGATTTATCCGTTAGCCTAAAATTAGAAAGTAATATAAATATTTTTAGTAGTGTTCTTAATAAGTGGTTAAAACAAAACAGTTTTTACTGCTTTTGCCCTCAGTAATTTTGTGTAAAGAATTATTATATTCTTATAATGTTATAATAATGTTGTTAATAATAATAATTATATTATAATGTTGTTTATATGTATCTATTTTATTTTCATTTTGTCAAGCCTCCTGTGGACAGATGTTGATGCAAAACATCAACAATTGAACAAATGCATTTGGTTGTCCAGTGTGATCGTGATGTCAAATGAAAATTAAAAATATAAACATTTTTTTTTTTTTTATAATCAAAAGAGAGACCTTTATATAATTATTATTTTATTATTGTTTTCTTTACAATATTTTAATTTGGACTGATTAAATGCTTTTCTGCTTTCAAAATTGAAAAAAAGTAATAATTCACTTAGAAACTATGTGAAATAGGCTTGAGTTATTGTGCTTCATTACAATAATATTTGTTTTTTTATTTTGGATTTTATTTTAACAAAAATAGCTGTAGTTAACAGTACTTACGCTGATTTACTACAGTCAGCTCATATTTTTTTATGTTGTTCATATTTTATTCTGAAAAAGAACAAACATAAAAAGTGATTAAACAAAAAAAAAAAAAAACATATCATGAATGTATATTTACTGTAGTAAACTGCTTTATAGAGAAGTGTTAAAAGGACCATTTTCTCCAGGCATTTGGAACCAAAGTTGAATAATTTAAGAAAATGGCAGCACCATTATTTTATTATTACACAAATTTATAAATCTTTTAGTGACTTCAGCAATCTGTTTAGCATTTTATGCATTTTTTAGTCATAAAAATGGAGGAAAAGTATGTAGTAAAGAATTATAAAACAATAAATATACCTTTATAGCATTTACACTGCAAAAACTGCTTTTCTTACTTAGATTTTTTGTCTTCTTTCTAGTCCAAATATCTAAAAATTCTTAAATCTTTTTTTTTTTTTTTTTTTTTTTTTGAATAAATTTTTTACAATTAGTTTTTAGAATGAATTTGCTAATATGCAGTGAGTTTTTCCTTCAAACAAACGAAATAGCCAGTGGGGTTAGAAAAATAATCTTATGTCAAAAGAAAAACAAGATTATTTTTTCTGAAAACAAGACAATAAGTTTTGCTTGTGTAGAAAATTCTTCTTGATTTAAGATTTTTTTATTATTATTTGGACTAGAAACTAGACAAAAAAATCCCATCAATCTCTCAATCTCATTTCATCACTATTTATGTTCATATTTCTTCTAAAAAATATATATTTCTGAAATTTGGTTGATTTGCCACAAAATGACCCAGATCTATTTTCACAACCATGTGTTCACCCTTAAACATGCTTTTATAAAACAGAATCACACACTAACAGTTTGATTAGACATCAGTAGTAGTAAAATGACCAAATGATCTGAATGCATTGTTAACTTTTCCACTTTCTCTTCTAGGGGGAAGTTGTGCTGGAGAGCAAACAGGAAGCCGAAGCTGTTGCAAGGATCAGCGACTGGTCCAGTCGGCCAGAAAACATACCACCCACAGCATTTATAATTAAACGGCCAAAGCGGAACAGAATATGCAACACAAACACAGACAAAGATGACAAGGAGATCGACAGAGATTTGCTGAAGTTACTGCTGCCTTCTCTGGTTTTGACACACATCCTCATGCTTGGATTGGGGTGAGACAACTTTGCATTTATAAAGCCCGACCTCTTGCTTATCACTCTTTTGTTCACTCTTGCTATTTTTAATCTGTCTCTGCAGGATCTGTATTGGACGGCGCCTCTCAACCCAGTGCTCTACTATCTGAATCAGCAGATAAAGTTTGTGTCAGTGTCGCTCTGTGAGATCCTCTCTAGAAAAAGCCTCACAGCCTTTTGTTTTCCTCCAGGAGATGTAAGAGAACACTGAAAATATCATGAGAGATAAAAACTCTCAGTATTGTTTTTCTTTGGTTATCCTGTGGGGACTTTGGCTCAGAATTAAGAAATGTTAATCCCGTCCTTAAGGGTATCGGATTAGATTAACCAGGAAATAGGCCTGATAGATTTCAGATTTTTTGATTATTGTTACTATAAAGGCATGAGGATTATTACGATTTCTTTTTTATTATTTAATGGCCAGGTCACATTATAGTCCTTTCAAGTGGCCGTTTTTGTAGCATTTCAAATCATTATTTTTGGAAAATGTAAATCTATGTTAAACGGAATATTTAGAGCTGTATAAAAACATATTCTGATGTTTTTTCTAATATGACGTGCTAAAAAAGACAATAAACAGTGCTGCCGAAATAACAATGTTCCAATTAAGTCATGCTTAAATGATTCAGTTTTTGCATCCAAGTTAATAAAATCTGCTACACTTATTACTTATCAATTATCTTATTTTATCAATTGTCTCAGAGTTTTTATTTTTAATTAATTGGTGGACAGTTCCAGGTTCAGAATATTAACAGTTTCACTCTCTTTAGGTGTAATGCCAAAAAAATGCATCCTCTCATTTGACAGTATACGGATGGCGTTTGCATTAGGAGGCGATAGGTGTGGTCTTCTACAATACAATATAGAACATCACAGTTGTGACACTTCAGTGTGTGATGCATGATCTAGCACAGAGATGTCCAAACTAGGGCCTGTGGGCCAAAGTTGGCCCATGGTAACCTTTGATTTGGCCCACCATCCCATCTGAGATGAGAGGTAAAAGGATTGGGATGGTTAAGAGATTGTCCTAGTGATTGATTAGAGATTTTGTTTGTTTTATTGTTAAAATCGAACTAGAATTAAATGTTTCAATTAAATCTTGTTTTCCCAGTGTTGGGTTGCAGCTGGAAGGGCATCCACTGCATAAAACGTATGCTGGATAAGCTGGCGGTTCACTCCACTCTGGCGACCCCTGATTAATAAAAGGACTAAGTCGAAAAAAAAAAAGAATGAATTATTTAAATATTGTCAATTATTTTAGCTTAAATGTTCATACTTTCACCTAATGGATTGAGGACAATGCAGAGACTTTGGTGAGTAAATCAGGGCAAAGGCAGACTCTGCTTGACTAGTGTATTCAGCACTGATCTCCACTGTTCACTGTTATGTTTTTATTGCATTACATTATCGTTTTAAATGTTATACTGCATTAGTTAATACAATTTAAAGAAATGTTTTTTTTTATATTATGAACTAAATAAAAAATGACCCATGGCAAATTTAATGTAATATAGTTTGATATATCTGCCTTTGTCTCATGGCTCAATGATATTTGGTTTTTGGCCCTTTATCTGAAAAGGGTTGGGCACCCCTGATCTTTACACCTAAAATAGTATTGTGTTTTGTACTGGCCTTTTGTGGACACCAGGTGGCGCTTTAACCCAAATTTTCAGAGACTTTGCTTTTTTGGAATTGACTGTTCTAATAAATGAATAACTTCTAATAATTAATAGATGTAAAGGTACCCTATATATGTTTTTAAAACAGTCAGCAACAGTTATACAATTAACAGCAACATGGATTTTGTAAAGGCAATCAGTTTTTGCTGTTTCTTCACAGAGGGCGCTTCAGAGCTATAACATTGGCGGTAAGAAGAGAACGAACAATTCCAATAGTTCTTGTGTGTTATTTTGAAATATTGTGTAGAACTGCTTTTATTTCTTTATTTTATTATTGTATTGTATATATCTCCTGCTTCTATTTCTATTTATTTTCCTGTGGCTATAATTATTTTCAGTAAAAATTGAAGACTTGGAAAAGTTTGAACGGCGCAGGAGGTTTTCAGTGCTGATTTTCCAATGTGTAAACGTTTTTTAAAACCTGCAGGGGTTTATGGTTATTTGCACACATATTAACCTCACGGCATGATTATGATGTTCGAAACTACTTTTGAAGTTTCAAAACTTCATGGAATATGAAGATTTGCATGTATAAGAAGATAGGATGTGCAGATAATGCGTTATTTTATTTATAACATAAGTAAAATTGAGACAAGTCCGATCAGAACAAAAACTGTAAAAAAAAAAAAAAAAAAAAACAGCTGACAAATTAACTCTTTTAAATAAGACTAATAGTATTAATAGCCTACTAATAATATTATTGCCGGTTGATAATTTGTCGCAATTTATTGTCAGTGGTATTTTGTAAAGAAATCTGAAACTACATTTTAAAAATCAATCACGCTTTACCATCATCAGATAATGCACTAACTAACAATGAGCAATAGCCTATTAATATTTGTTAATATGATATATTAGCTAATATGGCCTAGACAGGCCTAATAATAATCATTTTTTTTAATTTTTTTTTTCAGTTAGCTCAGATTAATTTAGCATAATATTTACTAATGTATTTTTAAAATCAAAAGTCGTATAATGATGACTTAATAACTTTATTAGAAAAATATTTTATGTTAACGAATCGTGTTTAACTAATGTAAGTTCCTGTGAAATTTCTATTTTTTTTTTTTTTTTTTGATGCGTCGCTCCGTTTCAGCTTGATTGATGTTGTGCGTCACAGCCACGCCCATATACCATATTAATACATCCATCAACTCTTATTCTCCTGCGGATTGTCTTACGGGGTCCTGAGGGAGAAGGAAGCTCGACATCCGCCTGGTCTCTGAGATGAAGCAGGAGGTCAGAGGGTCATCTGCAGGGTCAGCAGTCTCCTGGCTGCACACACACAGCAGTCTCTCCACACAGAGGTAAGAAGATGAATGCACTTCTCTGCTGTTTATTCCGTCATACACTTTCATGAACAACTTCATTTGCAAGTTAAAGCAAGTTTACAGAATTGGCGTTGTGCTTGTCAGCATCATCCTGACTGCTTTTGTGGATACGGTTAGGTCCCACATTATATTAGATGGCTTTACTTAAGAAGTAAAGTAAATAAATAAGGCACAACGTTGCCTTTTGTGTTGCAAAACATATGAGCAATTTATTTTTTACATTTCACCCGCAGTATTTTCTATAGCAATAAAATATTAGTAAACTTATGAAAAACCATACCTGTAAAAATTACATGCTTGGATGCTTTTAATTAATATTACAGGGTAAATATACATAGATTAAATGAAATACGGACACCATTAAATGAAGAGTGACTTTTTTTGCTGCTGTTTTATTGATTATTCAGTTTATTATTTTTTGATTAATTCAGTTGAGACTAGAGAGGGGTTTTGTGGATATGCTAAAGAACACAATTTAAACAGGTTATTATATTAAAGTTATTTTAATTAAAGGTTTGTATACTTAAATGACACTTAATATAAAAAGAGACGTGGTCACTTGGTTTCTCTGCAGATGTCATTTATAATGTGTGGATTTAACTAAAATTCTAATATTTGTTGTTTTTTATAACAGTTTTTGTATTAAAATGTTGAGTTTTTAGTAAAAATTCATGAATTTTAGCTCCTCTGAAGCTAAAACATTAGTATTGTCTAAATATAAATGCTATTCTCTATTTTATTTTACATTTAGAAGAATATTCACAAGCTGTAGGCTATTGTAGAAATCTTAATTTGCACATATTCTAATAAGCTAAATACTAGTATCTTGCAAAATAACTACTTAAATAGGATACTGTAATCATGGAAAAAGACAAAGGAAATTAGTCATTAAAACTATTGTTTAAAAAAATATATTTTAATATGATAAGATATATACATTTTTAGTGGTATAAAGGTAAGAGACAAGCAAAGGTATCTTAATTTTTTTAATAGTAGGCTAACTCTTATGAGAAATCTATATTACTCTGGAATCCAGTTTGCTATAGAAAGTTTGCTTCTTTCAAACATTGTGCAAATTATTTCAATTTAAATGACTTAGAACAATTGTTTCTGTTCCCGGCAGAGATGTTGGTCTTGCCCGAGCACACTTCGAGAAACAGCCGCCTGCAAACCTGCGCAAGTCAAACTTCTTCCACTTTGTTTTGGCTTTATATGACAGTCAGGGTCAGTCTGTGGAAATAGAGCAGACCACATTTGTGGATTTTGTTGAAAAAGACAAGGTGAGGAGAAATGTGGAAAGAATCAAACATATTTTAAGAATGACAAAATAAGAAAAGCATATATTGATTTGTCCATTTATGATTTAGGAACCAGTGAGTGAAAAAACAAACAATGGAATCCATTACAAACTTCAGTTACTCTACAATAATGGTGAGTACTTTATATATTACCCATGTTTTTTAAGAAACATAAATGATGTTCAGTGCTGATCTTGTGCTATTTCGCTTTTTAGGTGTCAGAACAGAGCAAGATCTCTACATCCGTTTGATAGACTCTGTGACCAAACAGGTAAAGCATTGTATGTACATTTACACTTTTTAGTACTTTACTTTTAGTGCTGAAAGATTGTAATAGTCAAGAATATTTTTTAAAACCCAGCAGTTTTGTTTTGTTAAGTATTATTGTTAATAACTTAACATATGATGGTTACACTTAACAATAAGCTAAGCAATAAGTTGATGTACTTACTAACGTGAACAAACAATGAGCAATACATTCATTCCAGTATTTAATCATCTTTGCTAACATTGGTTTATAAAATAGTTCATGTTACCTCACAGTGCATGAACTAATGCTAACAATAATTATCTGTATTGTATTAAAGCATCAGTAAATGTTGAACTATGATTAATTGTTCTGAATTGTTCATTCTAATGTCATGTTAGAAAATGCATTAATTAATGAAACCTTAATGTGTGATTGATATAAAGTAATATTCTTATGTTTTACACAGGGATAGAGCACATAGATATGACATGTACACTGAAATGATTACTAGATGTTTATTTATTTTGCTTTACATAACAATCTGCTGTTTCTCAGGCAATTGTGTTTGAAGGTCAGGATAAAAACCCTGAGATGTGCCGTGTTCTTCTCACGCATGAGACGATGTGCAGGTAACTTGTATCTCTACAACATGCTGAAATAAAACGGTCTTATATATATATATATATATATTGTCTTTGTTTTAGCATATTTTACAGTTGATGATGAAGTAATAATTGTGTATATGTATGTGTAAACTTTTACAGCCGATGTTGTGATAAAAAAAGCTGTGGAAACAGAAATGAAACACCATCAGACCCTGTCATTATCGACAGGTAGGCCAATCGTAAAATTTTAATTAAATGATAAAATGTGTTACTCGGGACCACAAAACCAGCCATGAGCGACATTTATTTATTTTTTATTGAAATATCACCTGAATCTCTGTTATTAAAAAAAAAGAAAGAAAAAAACACTTATGACTAATTTTGTAGTGTAATTTTCCCCCCTATTTATTTATGGTTTGTTAGAATTTGAACAAGATACAATTATTTGTATATCTGTAATCTGATGGTTAAAAGAAAAATCTAAAACATTAAAAAAATCTGTATTAAAGGTGTCTATATGTAAAGCTTAGCAATGCACATTACTGATCAAAATTAGAATTTTCTTTTTTCATTTAAAGTAGGAAATGTACAAAGTATATTCATGAAAAATCATGTGCTTAATCTTCTAATGATTTTTAGCATAAAAAAACAATAATTTTTACTACAATCTTATTTGGTTATTGCAAAAAGTATCCCTTTACAACAATGCTTTGTTTTTGTGGTCCAGGGTCACAATTATGTACTGTTTATATTCTTTCATCTCTCCAGATCTCGCTTTCTGTCTTTTCACATCATTTTCTCAGTGACTCTTTTTCTCCGTCCCCTGATCCACACATACCTTCACACATTTGTAGCGCAAAGATGTCTGTCTTGCCCTTAAAATAATGCCCATTTTCTTTTTATCACATGCTTATTCTAGATTCTTCTTGAAGTTTTTTCTCAAATGTAATCAAAATTGCCTGAAGAACGCAGGAAACCCGCGAGACACACGCCGTTTCCAGGTACACACATAGTTTCTGTGTAAACATGATGGATGCTGATGTACTGTGATATCTTTCTGTGCATTTTTTTTGTAAAAGTAACTGTGCGTTGCAGGTGCTGGTCTCCACAACAGCCTCTGTTAAGGCCCACATTCTAGCCATTTCGGATAACATATTTGTCCACAACAATTCAAAGCATGGAAGAAGAGCAAGACGATTTGAGTTGATTGAAGGTACAGCGATCAAACATATTTGCAACTTTGGAATTGATATAACTCATAGAAGTGGAAAAATGTACAAATAATTTAAATGCAGTTAAAGGTGTCTTCAAATGACAATATACAGTTAAATGCATTCTATCAAAAAAAGAGAAATAAAATAAAAGCAATAAAAATTATTTAGTTAATAATCTGTTTTTGCTAATGACCTCTTCATAAATGAAAAATATATGTATTGATTGATTGATTGATTGATTGATTAATTGATTAATTGTAGTGATTTGTACTCTGTGTCTGTAATGTGCAAACCCTGTGTGTAGCTGAGATCCCCTGCATTAAGGCCATCAGTCCGAGTGAAGGCTGGACTTCAGGTGGAGCGTCAGTGATTATTATTGGAGATCAGTTCTTCAGTGGTCTACAGGTGGTTTTCGGAACAATGCTGGTCTGGAGTGAGGTGTGTATTAAAGAATAACTATAAATACTTTTTTTTTCATTTTAGCCTTTTCACTTCACTTATTCGCCATATGTTACCGACAGATTTGCATTGCTTTTGAATCTTAATCTTAACATATGTTGCAATGCATGAATGTGAGGCTCTATTAGAATGAGATCTGCACATGATGAGGAAGTAAAGTTAATCTGTTTTCTTCTAAATTCCTACTTCATTTTTTGTTGTAGGTGATCACACCACATGCGATTCGAGTGCAGACTCCACCTCGTCACATCCCTGGGGTTGTAGAGGTCACTTTGTCCTACAAATCCAAACAGTTCTGCAGGGGAGCTCCGGGACGCTTCGTTTACACTGGTGACCATTTTTGAGTTTGCACTAAACATTGACTAGATTTGGAGAACTCTTTCTGTTTCTGCAAATAAATAAACAGTATATTTCATTGAAGCCTGCACATCCTCTGACATTCTTTCACATGTTTTGTTGTTTTATGAATTCTTTTTTCCCTGTTTTAGCTTTAAATGAGCCAACTATTGACTACGGGTTCCAGCGGCTGCAGAAGGTCATTCCTCACCATCCTGGCGATGTGGAAAGACTGCCAAAAGTGAGCCAGAAATGCTGACAAAAGTTGACTTTACTGTGAATAATTGTTGGGACCTTTGAAATCAATTTACTTCCTAGCAAACTCTATTTTAACTACTCTACATTCTGCTATAAATGTTTGGGGTTTTTTCAAAGTTTGAAGATGTACTGAAGTAATGTTGTGAATGATATGTTGTGTTTTAGATTATATATTTACTTACACAAACATTTGGATTTCAGCAATGTGTTAATAAATGTTGAACTATGATTAATAAATGCTGCCGATAGTGATGCTGAGTTGACTTCATACTCGTATATATTCGTAGGGGAAATCTGTTTATTTCCTAACTAACTTCATTTTAACTTCTCTATATTCTGTTTTAAATGTTTAAATGAATCTTCATATCTGTTCAATTGTATTTACATTTCTAAAAAATTTGTACTCATGATTTTTTTTTATGTTTGTTTTTAATTATCAGGAGGTCTTGCTGAAGAGAGCAGCTGATCTCATAGAGACTTTTTATGGAGCGCCTCAGAACAACCAGGTGAACATAACATTTCAATTTATATTTTCGTTGCAACTGATCAGTTAGTTATGCATATAAACATGAAACAGAAGTTATATAATTTCTATAGAGCTCAACAGTGAGGTTCCAGAATTAAAAACTTACTTTATTTTCTATATATGGATTAAATGATAAAATAAAAACAATGTATGATAAACATTTTGTTATAGATTTGAGGCTGTTAATCGATTGTTTTTTGTTGTACTCATCTGTTCAAATTAATTCAATTTATTTAATATTTAATCATATTTAATAGCAGATTTCATGCAGAAAAATTACATTACCCATAATTCACAGAGAACTTTGCACCATGAATAAATGAATGCATTTACATTTGGTCATTTAGCAGACGCTTTTGTTTATAATGACTTAAAATTGAGGAGGCATTCAGTAACTCAATAAGAAGAGGCAATACACTTATGGCCTGTTTCCACTGTGGTGCAGTACGGTATGGTACGGGTCACCTTTATCAAGCTTGCGGTTCCACTGCTAAAAGGGTACCAATGGTACTCTTTTGGTAGGCGTAGTGTACGACGGAAAATTTTAGTCAGCGTCATTTTCGCTTGAGAGAATGCTGTACGTTCACATATCGATATGAGAAACACTTCTCACAAAACAAATGCTTTATACACATAAACACTTCAGTATAAATATTCATTATTAACCTTTCTATGAACATAATTTGATTATAACTGTCAAATGAAAATGATTAATGACAGTGTGAAATAGCCTACTGTAATGCCTGCAATTATATAAAATAAATTAATAAATAAATAAATGCTTGTTATTATATTTATATATTATTACGATGTAATGTCTTGGCTGTGTATTTAAAACATGGCGGTTCCTTTGTTTTCATTCTGGCTTGTTGGGCGAGCGAATGGCGTATCTTTGTAAACCAATAGCGTTCAGCTGTGCGTTTGTCTCCACCTTTTGGTACCCTTTGCAAAGACTGACCAAAAAGTGGTACGGTGCGGTTCGGTTTGGTACGCCTTTTGACAGTGGAAACAGCCATAAAAGCGTACTGAACCATACCATACCACTCAATGGAAACGGGCCATTAGTACACAGAGTATTGAGTAGGGGGAGTGTCTTTTTTTTCTTTTAAAAGAGAAGAGGGTTTCTACAGGTGGTTTGCCAAACCCACTCATCTGTGTGAACCTCAGATTGAACCAATATTTTTTTTTAAATGTTGAATGATCGTCTGGTGCAAATCTGTTGCAAGTGTTGATTTAAAATGCCGGCGAGATGAAAGTGGGTTTTCTACTGGTGGTTTGTCAAACCCATCACCCTGACTAATATGAGATATTTCTGTTGTCTCTAATTTATTTTTATTTTTTGATGCTTCTTGCTGTTTTTTTTAACTCAGCAGCAGAGTTCAACCTCAGGCTTTTACCTGTCTTTTTGTTCATGGATTGTAATGCTTTACTGAATATATAAAAAAATGAATAGTGAAAAATTGCTTCTGAAAAAGTGTTGCATTGTGATGCATATGTGACAACAGGAAATTATTTTGAAGCGTGCATCTGACATAGCCGAGGCATTAAACAGCATCCCTCGAAACCCATCGCACACAAATCCACATGGGATGATGGCTGTAAACTCCTATGATGGTCAGTTAAGCTTGAACACAGAGGTTTCCCAGCAGGATGCAGAACGAGGTATGCAGAATGTTCAGTACACGTGAAGATGCTACACGTGCTCCAGTCGTTTGTTTTAATGTATGTCTTATTGTCTCTTTCAGCGAGTTTCAACAGGAGTTCAAACACTGGCTTTATTGAAGGCAGCACATCCCAACAGTCTGAATTCAACAACACCAACATGTGCATGAATGGACTCACACATTCACACTCAAACACACACCTGTCCGGACACACACAAACACACACACGCCCCGCTGTGCCAAATTTCTCTATGGCTGCCACACAAGTGTTCAAAGACAGTCCCACAGTGAACACACAGCACTATGTAGGTAAGAACATACTTTTCTCTCTTTTTGTGAGGCCTTGAAAACCAACTAAAATATTAAGAATTTAAAAAAAAAAATCAACCTTCAACATTTATCTGTAAAAATACTGATTTGATATTTTAAAAAGTTTCTGTTTAAAATACAGTTGAATTTTGAATGCATTTAAATTGCAGATACTTTATTACTTTTTTGCATTTGTTACTTATAGATGACACAACCCAAAAAGCAGTTTAACATTTATAAATTCTGCAGTTATGTTCATACAAAATATATATTTGACCCATTTTAGTGAAGATTACTAAAACAACAACTACTCCATATTCTACTATGGACACACTGCTGTCTTCAGTGGTTGTGTCTGTGTGTGTGTGTATATATATATAAAATCACTGGCCACTTTATTAGGTACACTTTACTAGTACCGGGTTGAACCCCCTATTGCCTTAATCCTTCTTGGCATAGGTTCAACAATGTAATGGAAATATTCCTCAAAGATTTTGGTTCATATTGACATGATAGTATCATGCAGTTGCTGCAGATTTGTCAGCTACACATCCATGAAATGAATCTCCCATTTCACCACGTCCCAAAGGTTGGAACTGTGGAGGCCATTTGAGTACAGTGAACTCATTGTCATGTTCAAGAAACCAGTCAGAGATGATTCACGCTTTATGACATGGTGCATTGCTGGAAGTAGCCATCAGAAGATGGGTACGCTGTGGTCATAAAGGGATGGACATGGTCAGCAACAATACTCAGGTAGACTGTGGCATTGACACGATGCTCAATTCGTACTAATGGGCCCAAAATGTGCCAAGAAAATATCCCCCACACCATTACACCACCAGCACCAGCCTGAACTGTTGATACCAGACAGAATGGATCCATGCTTTCATGTTGTTGACGCCAAATTCTGACCCTACCATCTGAATGTCACACCAGACCAGACTCATCAGACCAGGCAACGTTTTTCCAATCTTCTGTTGTCCAATTTTGGTGAGCCTGTGCGAATTATAGCCTCAGTTTCCTGTTCCTAGCTGACAGGAGTGGCACCCGCCCGGTGTGATCTTCTGCTGCTGTAGCCCATCTGCCTTAAGGTTCAATGTGTTTTGCGTTGAGAGATGCGAGTAGTTATTTGGGTTACTGTTGCCATTCTCCTTTACTTGGATCAACAAGGCATTTGCGCCCACAGAACTGCCGCTCACTGGATAGTTGTGCATGAAAACTCCCAGTAGATGAGCAGTTTCTGAAATACTCAGACCAACCCATCTGGCACCAACAACCATGCCACGTTCAAAGTCACCTAAATCACCTTTCTTCCCCAATCTGATGCTCGGTTTGAACTGCAACAGATCATCTTGACTATGTCTACATGCCTAAAAGCATTGAGTTGCTGCCATGTGATTGGCTGATTACAAATTTGTGTTAATAAAGTGGCCAGTGAGTGTATATATATGATATATATGCTGGTGATTTTAGGTCTTCATTTTAAAAGAATAGCTCACCCAATTTTACCCTTTTTCCTCAAAAGAACTTTAACAATTTTTTTTAGCTTATTTTAGAAAACAAGAACCTTTCTGATTTATGCAAGCACTCTGAGAGCCAGAAAACATTAAAGACAAAACTAAATTAATATATTATTTGCATTTTATGAACCAACAATGACAACAGTTTCACGTTAAAGTCTTTTTTAACATTCTTCTGAAAAAGTTACCTACTGTACATCTTAAATATGCTGGGCACTATAAAACTTGTAAAATTTCTTGATGACTTAAATTATTTAGTTTATTAAATTTAAAAATGTTATTGAAACCTGATTAACTGAGTTTGAGTAAACTATCATGGAATATGAATTGTTTGGTGAACAACCCCTTTAAACCTTCACTTTAAACCCCATCTTTCTCTTGTAATTATTTCTTTAGTGAAGCAGAAAAGTGCCTTTGCTCCAGTTCTGAAGCTGCACTAACAAAACCAAATTTCAAGTCTTCCTATCTGCATGGTGAGAGAACAACAAGCACACACACACATACTTATTCTAATTCTGTGATTCACTGACTCCTTGGAACCAAAAAATACACCCACAAAACCAAAATATATGGTTTTTGCTGTGCTTGTTGGGAGATTTGGGGATACACATTACAAGATACACAAACACACACATATACTCCCCTTGTCCATTAACATTGTCTCTTTTTTTACGGCTCAAAAAACATATGCTGTATGTGTAGGGAGTGCGAAAGTACACATACACATGGAGATTTGACAAGTGTGAACAGCAGACAGGCTCACGTCTATTTATTTATGTTTTTCAGCATTGCGTGGACTAAACACCAGTCAGACTCTCACATGGATAAACTGTCAAGATGTAGAAATGAAGAAGTCGTGCTCATTGTGATCAAGATATAACAACTTCTATTTCTTCATTCAATAATTCTTTCAGTTCAAGCAATATAAACATACAAATCTATATGTAAAATTATAAAATTGTTGCTTTTGCAGCTCTCCATTATTGATGTATTTATATTGTGTTCAAGCTGTGATTTATTAATATTGTCTGTGTATGGTTGTGTGTGTCTAACTGACTAGTATATTTCTATTCTATCACTATTAAATGTTTGGAGTCAATCATTTTTCTTAAAATGCATTTAATTGATATACATATTTAATTGATTAATATTGCAAACTATCCATGCAATCAAAATACAGTAACTGTAATAGATTAGATTTATAAGTATAATTTATAAAATAACTAAAATAGATTTAAATCTCTTTTACATCACACGATCCTTCAGAAATCATCCATTTGGTGCTTAAGAAACATTATTATTATTAAAGTTGAAATGGCTTCTAGATATTTTTGCGGCAAAGGTAGTATGTTTTTGACATTTTTAGTCAATTTGTCTTTAAAGTAAAAGAATTAAATGACAAAGTAAAAAATAATAAAAGAGTTCCCTTAACTTTTGATTCATTGTAACACTGAAAAATCTATGAACTTCTATAATCACTGAACCATCTGATGACAATGACACAAAGGATTTATTTTCAAGTGAAGATTGATATCAGTCCATGTCCCACATGCTTCCTGTTTCCACAAATCTATTCTTCATGTCTCATTAAATTCTCATCGA